AGCGTGTTTCACATAGGGGACATCACCCAGTTACTAATGCGATAATCTTGAATGACTTGCTTCAAAATGAACTCAGCCACCCAACGCGGGGTGCCGGTGAATCTAATATATCTGCAGCTTTTCAGTGATATTTGGTCACCAGCCCCTTAGTTTTGTCCCTAATTCCGAGTGTAAGGGCGATCGCATTTTTTCGCGCTGTGGATGAAATAACAGATGAGAATACTTGGGCGTCTTTTATAATCACTGTTGACCTTCTTTTTTTGTACTGCCCTGAAAACGAGACTTGTTTTGATATGTTCAGCAATGCAACGTTCTTATGGCTTAATCTACCTGATAGTGTCTGGAGTTTATTCCTAGGTCGTCGTCAAACACTCAGGGATAGCCTCATGATTTTCTGGCTCAGAGCATCACAGAACGGCGCTTTCGATTGCAGCCTCAGAAGAATACCTACGCATATGATTTGTGCAGTCACTTACGCCAAGCTTGTAAACAGTCAGCCTGCTTGATGAAATCGAGTTACATTTTCACTTGGTTACGTCGGCTTATGTCCTTGGGCATCGGGATCACTGATAACATTTTCATATTTCACTTGTGCAAAGCGAACCTGAAGGGTGGAGTGGATGGTCGATAATTCTGCATTTTCTGTAAGTGTAACGTGCAATCAATTCCCTGATTCCTACGGGAGTATTGCACGTGTTATGTCAGTAGAATATGTTGGGCCTGCATAGCGGTGTCTGCCACCGGAGTAGACGCTTGTGACTTCTAGTCTGTTAGATGCTTTCATGCATTTCCTTATGGCCGGTCCAGGTGGTTTAACCATTTCCGTTTGGTACGTTGGCAAGATGGGTAGTTGGTCATATATATTTATGACCGGATAAAAAGCTTTTTTCAGTGCAGGTCGCACTTAAATGCAAAACATTTGAACAAAATTAGATGGCACGATATTTATGTGGTTTTCACGGATTGATACACAGGATCGAGGCTATTGCTTAAGATTCCTCGGTCGCTTTTGTTCTTTTCGGTCAGTGGCTGTCGTTCACCTGAAAGACACAAGTGAAAAAGGGGGTAGCACTGCTTTTTATGTTTTCAGCGCGGGGTGGTATGCTCGCCAGCGCGAGGATTCGCATGAATAAATGTCTAATAGTGCTTTAAACTGGGTTAAGCTGTCCATAAACACGAGCATGTTTGTCACGCAAGAACGGTTTGGGAGAAATCCATGTGGGGCTGGAGATATCAGATTTCTGGAAATAAGGTTATCTATGATGGCTCGCTTCAGAATGCGTTCCATCGCCTTGCACGGCACTATAGTGAGGCTGATAGACCTATAGCCGCCAGGCGATAGTCGGTCACCAGTCTTGTAGATTGGCGTGGCAATCGCTTTCTTCCAAGCAGGGGGAAGGCGGTCTTCGTCAAGCGACTGACGAAACACCATGTGTAAATGGTTTGCCACTGTGGAGGACGTTTCATTCAGGATACTTGGGTGGACCTCGTCGGGCCCCAACGCGCAGAATGGGTTGATCTGCTGCAAGAGTTGGCGAATGTCCTCCACCGTGAAGACCAAGTCGGTTAGAGGCTGTTCGTAGTTCCGCCTTGACAATGGCGGATGTGACGAGGACGCTGGGGCTGAGTATAGACAGGCATAGTGTTCTTTGTAAACCTCAGATACCACTGATGGGTCATTCGTCGCTTCTCCGTTTCTATCATTCAAGGAGAACGCAGATGGCTTGTCTCTGTGGCGATGTCTCATGTATTTAAACAAGACGATTTGTTTTTTTCGAGCGAGGTTCAGAAGAATGGCTTGTTTTCGTGTGTTCCGTTTGCGGATTTCTGATACACAGCGGTTCCGCATTTTACGAAGCGTCAGCTCATCTTCTGTATCATCTGTAGTCAACTTTTTGAAAAGGAGTTGGGATTTCTGATACACAGCGGTTCCGCATTTCACGAAATGTCAGCTCATCTTCTGTATCACTTGTAGTCAACTTTTTGAAAAAGAGTTGGGATCTTTTTTCCAGGAGTCGCTGAATCCTTTTTGGCTGCCTAAGGGTCATCCGAGTGCGCGCTGGTTTTTCGGGACGAACGTCGCCTCAGCCTCGTGAACTTTCTGGACAACGGTGCTATATAGTTCTTCCACTGCAGCTGGTTCCAATGTGACTTGTTCAAGAACGATGCGCATTCCCGGAAAGTCTGCACGGCAGAAGTCTCAAGACCATTGTTGAGGTTCGGGATTTCTGGCCCAATAGCAGATGAAATCAAAGGTCAACACGCAGTGGTCGCTATGTCCCAGTGGAGCATTAATTGTTACCTGATCAACGAAGTGTCTTTCGTTGGTGATGACCAAAGAGGGATCGCAGTTGGCCTGCGCGGTATCCGGTGGGTGCAACGACACTTAGAGTCCAAGCGCTCTGTTGAACGACTTCAATCAGCGCCGCTGCAAAAAGTCTGCCTGGTTCAACGCGCTGGAGTTCTATCCAGGAGGCATTTGGGGCGTTGAAGTCACCTACCAGCAGGAGATGAGTGAAGTGGTAGTTGGAGGAGAGTTCCTCATGGGTTTGTATGAGGAATTGGTCATCTTCAGGGGGACTCGAAGGGCTACGGTAGACCACACCGAGAAGGAGAAAATCGGACCCGCGCAGCGGGATTTGGGCCCACAGTGCATCGCAAAAGGGTGCAGGAGTGGTGTCGGAAAGGTCAATCGGGATTGGTAGGGCAACATGTAAGTACAGAGCAACCCCACCAGCCCTCCCTCGTTTTGAGTCGGCTCGAAAAATAGAGTAGCCGTCTATCGAGATCTCCGCGTCAGAGACATCTGGTGTGAGCCAAGTCTCTGTGAGTGCGGTTATGGAAGGTTAAGCTAGTGAACGAACACACAAATTCCCATCGTTCAGCAGAGTTCAGCAATAAGATCCGGATTTACTGAATCCGCAAAAATGTTTAAATCAATCCTACCTATCCAATCTATACCTAACCTGTTTCCAATCTGTCTAATATACAGCTGATTGTTTAAATGCACCACGGCCTGTGTGCGTCCATTCGCTCTCAAGGTTCTTCTTCGGCGCCGTTTCTCCTCCTAGTATCATGTCACGCTCTGTCTGTGCTACCCATTTGAAGTATTGCAGCAAGTTGATATGCTCTGTGCGAAGCATTTCCAGTAGTCAACCTCGAATGGTAAGTACGCCTGCATGACTCGCGAACTTGCTTATAGGGTCTGAAAGACATTCTTTCTGATCTTATCCCGAAAGAGCAAGCTAGGGTTGCTGCTTTCCGGAAAGAATATGGATCCACAAAAATAGGGGAAGTAACTATTGATATGGTATGTGATTCTTTGCTATAATAAGGCTCCTAGATGTATGGTGGCATGCGCGGAATCAAAGGGCTTGTTACTGAAACATCCGTCCTTGATCCCAACGAAGGCATACGGTTCAGGGGCCTGTCCATCCCGGAATGTCAGAAAAGACTACCGCGTGCAGTTAAAGATGGCGAACCATTACCCGAGGGCATATACTTCCTACTTTTAACGGGCCAGGTCCCAACGAAGGACCAGGTGGATGAAATATCTAGAGAGCTTGCGAATCGCGCCGACTTACCACCACATGTTGCCAAAATGCTGGATAATTTCCCCTCTTCCTTGCACCCCATGAGTCAGTTTGCTTCCGCATGTGCTGCGCTCAACTCTGAATCAAAGTTTGCCAAGGCTTATCACGAGGGCGTAAAGAAAGCCTTGTACTGGGAGGTGAGTTATAAATTTTTGTTGGTCCAGGACGTAGTTAGTTGCTTTTGAGTGGTTGCTCATCTTTGCCTAAATTATATTTAATCCACAGGATTTGATTGATTTCGTATGCGGATGATGGAATTTCAAGAGTTAATGTATCCCACAGCCTTTGTCAGTCAGCCTCCATCGGCCGCTGGCAATATATTTCCATGAACGCGAAAACATCGGGTTTCGTTCCTTTGGCAAACAACAGTACATTGTCAAACATCCCTCATACTGAATGAGTTACTTAGCACTACTCCAACAGCACCTCTTTCTAAGGTGGGGAACAGGATAAGCCGAATCCAACTTGCTTGGTTTGTTTACTACCACCTGAAAATTTACTATGTATATGTCTGCTTCAACACTCGCACTCTGGAGCAAGTAGGATAACAATTTTGCTCTTAGCCGAATCCAACTTGCTTGGTTTGTTTACTACCACCTGAAAATTTACTATGTATATGTCTGCTTCAACACTCGCACTCTGGAGCAAGTAGGATAACAAGCTTTTTTGCTCTTACACTGGGCTCGCTGGACATTGGTGTGTGCTGTGTCAAACAAATTTCAAGATGCAAGCACAGCGGTTGAGCAAACTGCCTTATCACTCTCCGCTCCGCTGATCCAAAGGCTGCTTCGGCAGGAGGTGCAGGGGGTTAATATCGTCCTAAATCACCAGACGGAAGGATCCTAGCTTGACTGGATACTCATTGGTAATTGCCTCTGTGAGGTATAATGTGGCAACGTCTCTGAAGGAATTTCAAAAGCTGTTGTATCTCCTTACGGTTCAATCGACGATAGCTCTGATACCGCCCTGTATACCTTGTTGCGCGAGCCAGGGACTCCGATATGGTTGTGGTTGCCGTCATCTGAATGCATAGGTGGGAAGGCTTTATCGCATGTAAAACTGTATTAGCTGGTCGGCATGGCTTGAACTCGATACATACGGACAGTGGCCATATGCTAACCGCAAGCTGTTTTTATTAGTAGTAACTTCCGAAATAGCCAATCGTCCGGCCACATGGTGTCCTCCAACGGTGTGTTGATCACATTGCCATCAGTTACCTATGGCACGAATCAACAGCACATTTGTGATCGCCTGAAGTTGCTTCCTTCATTTTCCAAGGCCGCGTAAATCGCTTAGGAACCAAGAGACTGGCTGATCTGGATGTTGGACGAGTTTACCAGAATCGTCTTTTTGAGCTTCTTCCAACTGCTCCTCCATCAGATGTGAATTCATACTGGAACAAGATTGCCGCACTTAGAGCTTTTGCCTGTGGAACGGCGCTACCAGGCCCGCTCAACCATTGAATTTCGGGGCGAAAAGACGCCCTGATTGGAGAAACATCCTAGACGGTCCCGAACATAGTCTGGACTGACGAATTATCAGACGTCAAATGGAAGTGAGCGTGCGCACCGACCGTGATGCACGGTGAATATGGGGCACTAAGGAAATGGAAAAGACACAGAAGGCCGTGAATGCGCGTGATCCGTGCGACTGGACCCTTGAAACCGCCTGTGAGCCAAGCATCAAGGAGGACGAAAGTCACGCGACCATCTTCAATGAAGAAAAACGGAACTGATTTCTTTAGGTGTTCGACAGCTGTCTTCTCAGAACAAAAGCTCTTGGGGTTGGCGTCATAGAATCCGCAATGGGACGATTAGAAAATGAATTTCCTCTGTGCAACGGGGACTTCCATCGGAGAATGTGTCCAGCGCCAGAATCTATGGTGTCCTGGTAATGTATTACGCCTGCAAACCCATCGTTTTCTGAAGAGGGTGGTGAATCCCGCGCCCAATCCTGAGTGGCGCGAGTAGAGAGGTAACCAACCAGTGATTTGACGGGGGGATATGAAGGAGATTACGAAACATGCTGTCGGTGCTACTCGCCTTTCAGGATGAGGACCGTGTAATCACCACTGCGTCTGGTTGAATACACTGCAAAATATGGCTTCTAATCCGTGTCAATGTGCCAAAGCCCAGCAGGAAGTACGATGGCATACACAAAGCCATCATATACCAAATAATGGAAGCGAATCGTGAGAGCTGTGGCTCAGGAGTTGGAGAATACTTGCCACCGCGCTGTGCCACCTAATTCACCCTTCCACTGACCAAATCAAGGCAGCTCAGCGAAGCAATACGTGAAACAGATGGTTCAGTAATCCATTCACATAAACATAACAGCACGTGTAAAAAATGTTCAGCTGTAACCATTCCGGTACCTATCTGCCATGCCACACGAAGAAAACACGAGCGCTGGGATACTACCAGGTTGCCCAAGCTTAACGCCTGTAAGCAGTGCTTGCAAGCTTTAATCTTCCGTCAGAAGAGGAGTTCACTCGCGAAATATCCCTTTCAGTTCGTGAAAAACGACAGGATCGGATGGTTTGTATCCAGTTGTCTTTAGAAAAGACAGATTCTCTCTGGTTACCCACCCAACTGGGCCTATTTTCATATGCGGATTGAAGAGAAAGTGCTCGAGGAATGGGATACATCCTCAATCAACCCTCTTCCCAAGAAAGGTACGCCTGAATCATTATGGGACGTTTGTGGTAACTGTGACATCGAAGATGTTCCGGTTTCATTGTTTGAAGATTTGCTGAATGCAGATCCATGAAAATCAAGCTGGGTTCCGTCCTGCAAGAGAATACGCGAACCACACATTCATCCTCCGTCAGTTTCCGGAACTACGACACTTTCTAAGCCACCGGCAATGGCCATCTTTCGTATCCTAAGACTGCTTTTGACCCTTGATAATCATGATCTATCTCAGCGTCTAGGAAGTAAAGATGTCTCCTATAAATTCTTGATCCTCCACAGAGTACCGTGTGCCAAATCCCGTGGACGCGTGAAGGTCTACGGTAAGCTCTCATCTAGGTTCACCACATCCAATGGCGCCAAGCAAGGCTATTCTCCTTAACCATGTCACCGCTATGTTCATCGGGGGCTCACTGCCAGCCTCTAATAGCTCCGATCGGGTTTCAGTTCTGCAATGATCCTGCGTGCTATACTGGCTGGAACTCAGTTCCTTAAGGTTCAACCATGCCAGGGAGGTCAGTGAGAAGCATCCCGAAGAAGGACAGCCAGTCCCCGTACTGCGAGTAATCGTATTATGTGGTGGTCTGGAGGTACTGTCTTCCGCGACAGGAGTTTGAAGGCAGTAAGGCGTTTCCCCCGACCGACCAGCATGTCCATATTTATGGAAGCAGTGATGCTGCCTTCCTCCGAAGCAGCACTGGTTGGAAAAGGTGGGTCCCAAAAGCCGCACACTCCGATCGTCCGACGGTTGACCGTGGCCACCGGCGCATTATTCAATACGGTCGAAATACCTTTAAAACCAACTAGTCAGGTGCTGCTCAAAAGGCACCTGCTGTGCGTAGCTGCATTAGGAGAGGGACCTCGAGCTAGGCCGGCCTCCTACAGCCAGGTAAGTCAGACTATTGGCTCCGGGAAGGGTCCCTAACATCCAATGTTTCGCGGTTCAGAGAATAGGGGCATGGTCCCCGAGCAAAACCCTACACCCTCCCATTGCTTTGTGGGTCAGCCTTTTCAGCCAAAAACCCAAGATGGGTCATCTCAACCCAACCCCATTCTTCGGCCGGGGCCACCAGGAAGTATCGTTCGTCCTTATAGCTCACCGGCCTTGTCCTACACTCCCTCCTCACCCATGGTCCACTGCAGTGCGATCAACCCATCTGCCAACCCCCTAGCCTCTATTCCGTGTCCCAACCTCGCCCAGGAAAATAAACCAAACAAACCAAAAGATCTGATCCACGTTGCAGTCTTCAATGTCCGTTTTCTATGTCAAATTAGGCAATAGGCATCCTTGCCGAAACCTTGTCTCCCCTCTCTATCGATGTATGTTGTATCTCCAAAACACGCATACAAGACCCCACTCCAGTCGTTCTCAAACCGCCTTGGGACGAGCTCAGATGTTCCACATTTCACTCTTCGGGTATCCGGTGGTCTTGAAGCAATGACTCGTACCTACGGTGTAGGAGTTGCACTTAACCCTAAGGTTAAAAGCGCCTCACTAGACTGGATCTCAGGAAACAATCGCTTTTGTGTTGTGCTGTTTGGCTCAATTAGGATTAACCCTGGTCGATGCGATAAACGGTGTTTGTTTGTCGTATCAGCATATACCCCAACAGATAGCATTTCCGAGACTGAGAAGAACGGGTTTCATCAAGCTGTCATGACTGCTTCGGTCGGTAAGAAGGACGGATATCGTAATCCTGATGGGTGATATGAATGCCCAAGTTGAATGACTAAGTCCGGAAGAAGCACAGTTAGGTGGTCGATTTGAAGTCGATGCTGAGCGTACGGATAATGGGGAGCGGCTTCTTCAGGTGTATACAGATCATCATCTGTTCGTGGCCAGTACAAACGCTCACGTCGAGTTACTTGGAGGCCATCTACCACAAGACAGTCGTGGACTCTATTGGATCGTATGGCCATCAGTTACCGATGGAGAGCCTCAGTCAAGGGTTGTCGTTCTTTCTGGAGTACGCAGTTTGACTGATCACGCCATCGTGCGAGCCCGCTAGCACTTCGCTTTCCGCCAGCACCAAGTGTGCAGAGAGGGAGCGTCTCCGTTCATCAACTTCGACAAGTTCCAGCAGCTGAAGAGTATCTGGCTGGTCTGGCTAGAAAGCTACTGGAAAAGCAAACTCACGTAAAAAAATAGTCCAGCTATCGCATCCTTTCGGTGTTTAGCTGCCATGCCACCAGCAGGAAGGTGGCTGGATTTAGAAGGCCCAGGAGATGGAGAAGCCTTTCGCTGCAGGCAACAGCCGCGCCCTATTTCAACTGATCCTATCAACGGGTCAAAAGAAGGCTGGTGTCAGTGAGACAATATGCGAACAGCAATTCACTCCCTCAGTTGCCGTCTTGAGCGGTGATCGGAGTGCGTCAAAGAACATTTCACCTGTTCTCCTTCAGCACAACTGCTGGAAGAACCAAGCGGGCCCGAATGGATCATTGACACCAAACCACCGTCAGCAACCGAAATCCAGCGTGAAATTTCCATCCTGAAGCGCGACAAGACATTTGGCCCGGATCGTTTACACTCCGCTCCCCTCAAAGGTAGTGGGGAGGTCCCGGTGAACAGTCTGACAACCATATTTCAGAATATTTGGAATAAAAACAGCCGAATGAAGGTTTTCGACCGTCATCCCAGTTTTCAAAAAATACACAAGAAAATCATGTGAAAACCGTCGAGGTATCCATTGCATCTAAGGTGCCCTCTGGCCTTATTTTGTGCGGGTTGATGGATTATCGGGAGAGACAGATTCGCGAGAATCAAGCTGGGTTTCGCCCTGGTCAACGGTTGTCGGTGCTACTCGCCTTCCAGGATGGGGACCGCGTGATCCGCACTGTGCCTGGTTGGAGACACTACAAGATATGGCTGCCAACCGATGTCAGTGGCGTTCTTGTTGTCAGTTTCTATCCAGACTGTCTGAGTGAATGTCTGGAGGTGTAGGCACCCCGGAATGATTGTGTTAAGCTAGCACTAAGTCCCTCCCCCATCCACCTTTATTCTTTTCTTTACAATAATGCTTTCAAATAAGTCATGGTTGTACGGCAGTGAAGCATCGGTGTTGAACACTGATGTGATGCTGTCGATGATGATGATGATGACTGGTCGAGGGTACATCGAGCATATCTTTAACTTGAGACAAATTCTTGAACAGCGTCAATCCTTCATACATTCCATTTTGGTTTTTTTTCTGAACTTCAAGGCTGCTTTCGATTCTGTCGATTGTCAGCAACTTTGGTAGTGTCTAGCGATCAAAGGGACCCCTTCCGAATTTCTATCCCTCACGAGGGCACTGTATTCGAACTTTTGTGGGCGCGTACGAGTATACGGGAAGCTCTCGTTTGAGTTCACCACATCCAGTTATGTAAGACAAGGCTGTCCTATCGCACCCTTTCTCTTCAGCTGTGTTGTTGATATGCTGCTTGAAATTTCTCTGCCTGTCTCTGAAACCTTAGGAGTCGAAATGCTTCCGGGACGTTCCTTCACAAACATTGAGTATGTGGGCAATATTGCTCTCCTTGATTCAGATCCTTCAGAACTACAAACGATTTCAAATAACCTGATTAACTCTGCCGCACGGTTTGGCATGCGCTTCACACCTGTAAAGTGCAAAGTACTGCTACAAGACTGGGATGGACCAAGCCTACACCTCATGTTTGCAGGTGAAGTAAATTTAGTAGGTAAATTTGTTTACCTGGGCAGCTGTATAAGTTCTGGTGGACTGGCTGGAGATGCGATTATTCCTCGAATTGGAAAGGCCAGGACAGCTTTTGCAAACCATCGACACCTATTGCGCCGGCGTGACGTCAGCTTGTCTGTCAAGGGAAGAGTTTACACTGAGGTGGTGCGATCCATACCGTGGTCCCTACGAGTAAAGGACATATAGATGTCAGTGTTTGACATTTGGTGTCTCCGAAGCATTGGTCAGGTCTGGTGGAAACATCAGATTATTGACGCTGAGGTACGCCAGATGGGAAGAATGAATGAATGAATGAATTGCTCACGCTTCATAGATTACGGTGGTTAGGACATGTACTCCGCATGTCTGCCTCGCAGAGCTCTCTTCGCCCAGCCCTGTACTGTGTGGAATATACTGAGAGGTAGATAGTGTATGACCTTGTACCGAAGTGCGAAAACATTAACCAGTAAACTTAGTCGAGTGGGCAACTGCCGCCTCCCTGGATTGGAGCCTCGGGACTCAAATCACCAATGGTTAATGATATTGGCAGAAGTGGCCCAATCGCCCAGTCAGTGGTGCCCATGCATCAGAGCTATTGCCTTCGATGCGTAGCTATTCAATTTCTGAACAAAGTGAACATGCCTTCGCCTTCAAGGCTTGTTTTTTATATCCCACACTCCTGTTTCCCAGTGCAGCTGTAACCAATGTGCCTACGGTTCATAGCTGATAAATTGAATTAAATTGAATTGAATGCCATAGGGTCATTCGTTCTATACGTAAACAACATCAAATGGTCCGGATAATTTCACCTGTTTGTTTTGCGTATCACACCCACAAAGTACAGAGTTCTGCGAAAAACACGAGCCGCATGATTGCAGAGAAAGTAATCGAATTAATATGCAAATTTGTCTACCTGGATAGCTGGATCGTTCTCCAACCAATATGAGCTGAGGACGTTAAAGACTTTTTGACCATCGATGCATTCGGGGCATTGACAGAGCCCAGTGAGAACACCGGAATCACGATGCTTGAATTACATGGAGAGGTTTTCGATGGAAATAACTTGCGTGCAATAGGTGGACTGGTCAGAGTAAGTAATGTGCACATACTCCGTCTTTCGACTTCCTTGGGAAGCTCTTCTCCCACAACTATCTGGTGGTTTGAAACGAGCATGAGAAGCTCAAGTGGGTACTTGGCGTTGGCGTACGGAGCCCATCACCATTGTAACGGGTTGGATGGGTTGGTCCACCACTCCCAACGCATAGCTGTCCGGCCCCTATTTTCCTGGATAGTCGGCGAATAAATCTCAACATCGAGTATGCTGTACTTGCACGAGGAATTGCGACTATCACCAACTGCCGGGAAAACGCACAAACCCTGTTAGACAATGAGCTCCTGACTGAATTGTATATTGTGTGCATCATCTCAGACCACTTCTTGAACTCTTCGGTTCCGTTTTGGGAGGCTGAAACATTTCCGTCAGATTCCAAGCATATTGCCTTTTCTTTAAGATGCCAGTATCGGGTTTCAATACCTTCCTATAAAACCGTCGGCCAAAAGCGTCCATTTTAAGTATTCTTCAGGTGAAGGAGCTCACCCAAATTATGTCCCACATCTGCATCAAATCGGTGTACCCTTGCTACTGAAAGCCAACCAAATCAAGCAGCTGCAAAGTGCGCCAATTTCTTTGATGCTATTCTCTGTTCACGATGTGAGATGGAACGCTGTGACAATTTGTAAATAAAAGATAATAACTGTTCAGCTGTAGTATCCCTTCGGTGCATAGCCGCCATGCCACCCAAGTGCCAAGGTACTCTCGCGTCTGTCTACACCCAGACAGATTTGTGCTGCGGCAATTTGCACTATGTTTAAACGTTTAGACCCTTCAAATCTACTACAATACTATGATTTAAAGTAAATAGGCAATGCTGATAATTAAGGGTTGTATTTCATCGAGTTTTCCTCTGTAGTTTGGCTGTGCACCAGTTCAAAATCCATTGTCATAATCTTCAGTCTTTTCACTGCGCTGAGCAATTCGATCGCGAACCTTTCATTCCAAGGTCGGGCCGAGTCATTTATACAACATGATCTACCAACTTTCCCCCAAAAACAAGTTCATGGATATTTCCTCGACGGTACTGACTCATACGGTTGCTGAAAGCTCTTCGGCAGCCATGATCCGTGTCAACCCTCTGGAGGTCCATCGGGTGAGGGCGGTCCCCCGGTTTCATTATGGGTAACTTGCTCCGTTGGGAAAATACATTTGGAGATCCCTAGTATTGTGTTGTGTATTCGGTTGGATACCGTAAACAAGAGGTTCAGCTAGGATTCAGTAGAGTTATCCGTTAACGCCAGCTTGATTCGAAAATGATAATACTTCATCTAGTTCAAGTTCGTCTTTAGAGTGCACCTCACCCCTGAGCGTGGATTTGATGACAGCATTTGGATGCCGTGGATTTTCAAGCATCCTAGTTTCACAACAAGACAAAGACCATAAATTCCTTTCGGGCAGTATAAATACAGTGACCACGTTCATCTAATACAAAACCTAATGGGCTCTTTCAAGTAATACGGTTAACGTCCGGTTTGAAGAGTCCAATTATTTTGACCAAGGAATCATCCTTGGTTTGAACCTGGGCATAAAGTTGTGGAAGAATCACAGTCCCTTAAACCCAGCTAAGGACAGCTGGACATACAAACGTGGTTTGGGTGCAGATCTGATACCATGGGTTACTGCTAGGAAGAGCACTTCACCCCCTTACCCCCGTTTTTATTAGCATGAGCAATAAGGCATCGGTCCTCTCCTGGTCATTCGACTCGTCCGCAGTGTTCCACTCGACACAGTTTGCTGCGCAGATCGCTATGCTTTGGGTTAATTGGTGGTGGTCACGTTGAAACTACCTGACGACCCATCATGTGGGGAATTTCAACACCACCCTTTTCGATCACGCGGATAAGCGCCAGTCTCCGACGCCATCCGCGAAAATTTCGAAGCATATCCTCGTGCTTGACGGTGTCAATATCCCAAGGACGCATACTGCAAACGCCTGTAAACGGTCGCTATCAATCTGTACGTAGCATTAGAGGACGAACAAACGTAGATGAAAGTCTCGATTTCGAGAGATCTAATAAATTGTTCTGTCTTGTGTTTGCTGCAGCTTTTGTGGACGCTTTGGCGACAATCCTATGACCGATTCAGGCTCTGGACATTTTAAGACTTCCAGACTGCCCCCGGCCCACGAGCGTATTTGGCTCGCAAATTCCCTTTAATCTTACTCCCAAGTATGCAGATTTTCATACGTAAACTGGATAGTGTGAAAACCCCGAATTGCCTACAAAACAACGTCATTATTAGTTCAGTTGGTTACCTAGCTTTCCACCCATTTCGTCCGTGAAGAAAGTAGTCATCGCCGAATGACAAATTCCTCAGAAATTTACAAACAGCGAACTTGTTTCCTCCCTCGGAGAGGTAACTTCTGGTTTGTCACAGAAACCTGCTCACTGAAACGCCCTGAAGATGCTACCCGAGTGCATATCCTTCTATGCGGATGAGCGACTTATCCTCTAGTAAATTCATCTTATTAATGGGGTCGAATGTGGTGTACTGTTGATGCCTCATGTAGGCGGAGAAATCCGTTTTCCAGGTAAACTCAGGTGGGGCGACAGTCAGAATTGCCAAATTTGAGGACAGGCGACTAAACAACAGTTCGTTACACAAGCGCTGTGAGCGGGTGAATGTGCTTGAGGCGACAATACAGAAGCACCAGACTGCGTCATACCTCCTTGTTGAAACGACTAGTGCAAGGTCAGCAAAAGAAAATATTTTCACCGGAACGTGGTTATGTTACCTTTCACTCGAAACCGCTTGGACGTACACAGCTGCAGTAATTCACCATAAGCAAACTTCCGCTCATTTAGGAGGTTTGATACTCTCATTAGACCTCGAGTAAAACTGTGTGCAAGCAAAGGATCACTGTCAATACCGAAACTAAAGTTGTGTAGCGCTTTACGTATATTGGAAGTTGTATTAGTTGTGATTGTAGTGNTATGGTTGTGAGACTTGGCCTATTCGAGCAGCGGACCTGAGACGTCTTCAGGTGTTCGACAATCGTTGTCTGAGAACCATAGCTCGTGTGGGTTGGTGTCGGCGAATCCGTAACGAGGCAGTTAGAAAGCGTGTTTTCGGTTGTGTAACGGGTACTTCCATTGAAGAATGTGTCCAGCACCAGAAGCTGCGTTGGTTGGGGCATGTTTTACGCATGCCGAACCATCGTTTGCCGAAGAGAGTACTGTTTTCCATGCCCAACTCAGAGTGGCGTCAACAGAGAGGTGGCCAACCCTTGACTTGGCAGAGGAGTATGAATTAGATCACGAAACGCTTGGGTGTTGTCGGTGCTACTCGCCTTCCAGGATGGGGACCGCGTGATCCTCACTGTGCCTGGTTGGAGACACTACAAGGCATGGCTGCCAACCGATGTCAGTGGCGTTTTTGTTGTCAGTTTCTATCCAGATTGCCTGAGTGAATGTCTGGAAGTGTAGGCCCCTCGGAATGATTGTGTTAAGCTAGCACTGAGTCCCTCCGCCGTCAACCTTTACTCTTTTCTTTACACTAAGACTCAAATAAATCATGGTTGTACAGCAGTTAAGCATCGGTGTTGAACACTGATGTCATTCTGTCGATAATAATAATAATATATCATAGAGACTTAATACACTACTCACACGGTTGCTGAAAACTAACAGGTTCTGCTATTCTCGGGGCGCATTCCCCGAGTTCCCGTCAATCTTATGTTCTACTTAGACCCAAATCGCACGAAATTAGCGGAACGAAGTCATTTGCATACCAATTCGGTTTTGACAGGAGGCTCATCTAGAACCCGGCTGCTGCACCAGACTGCCTCGTGTTTCAAATGGCACGATATTCGAGATATTGGGATGCATTTTATAGACGTAATACACACTTAAAACACCATAAACAACAGAATCAACTGGATTCCAAGTGAGTTTCCTGGCAAGACAAAATTGGTATGTAAATGAGTGTATCGCGCTAATAAAACTACTCCGTTTTAGCTGCATTCTTGAAGGTTATTATTAAAACACTACTGAACCACGCCGTCGTCTTGGGAAATGCCTTTAGCTGGGTTATGATAGTCTACGGCTAAATATATCCTCTTTCGTATAGTTGACTTCGGTATGTTGTTCGTTAGTTCCGACTTTTTTTTAAATGCTGTTTGCATTGGTATCTACTCTGTGTGCTGTACCAGCAACGAAACTGTACCAGAAAATGGCCGGAAGTTAGTCGCGCTGTGTTCATGTTAATCGTGTTATCGATTTTTGTGCAAGAATCGGTCGCGTCGTGTTCAGGCTGGCCAAAAAATAACGTATTGTGGCGAATGAAAGTGATATTTTGGGTCTCCAGTGCCCTGTCAGTGGACGTGAAAACAGCAAAGGCGTAAGCCAAATGATTTAGATAAGACAGCCGCAATAGATGAACCAAATCTATCGAGTGCTAAAGTACACTAACCTTAATGTTAAACGTGATGTTAAATGGTCTGCAGTCCAATAGAAGTATATTTCAGCCCGTCTATAGTCTACCTAGGGGGCGAGATGGACCAAGTGGTCAGAGCGCGAATTTACTGACCGGAGGGCCCGTGGTTCGAACCCGACCTCTGCCACTCGACTTCCCTGACAGTATCCCAGTCCTCGTGCCTCCTTCGTGTGGCATGGCAGCTAGGCACCGAAAGGATGCTACAGCTGAACGATAGTCTACCTTACACACTGTGTCTACCTTTTTTCGGTTGTATTTATCTTCTTTTCCGACCATCTAGTCTCATGTGATGTGTCATATTCAGAGATTCAGTAATTACCTTTTTGACTGTCTGGCATTCTAAATTCAAGTGCCCTGTCGAGAATGTTGACTGTTGTGTAAAGTGAGCGTGATTCGTCAGATGTCATCCCTAACACCACAACATAATTCACCCGAATATTTTTGGGGTCTATCTCGCTTTGCTACATTATAATTGACAGCACCATGAGAAGAGAATGCTCATAATTCACTGTCGCACTAGTCAGCTTATTTGAATGGAGTGGAAAAAACGTAGCAGGAGAACCTACCACAAACATCCGAGGTGTCTACGCGCCCAACACAGCCAGACAATTTGGACAAAAACTGACAGCACGAACGCCGATTGCACCCACCAAGATCACTTCGCTACTCTAACGTTTCTGTGGGTAAATCACTCCATTTGTGGTGCTACCGAATGGAACGGAGAGCGGCATATAAAAGTGACTTGGGGGCTAGATAACTCATTGGATAGAGCGTGAATTTACCGACGGAATGTCCGTGGTTCGAACCCGACCTCTGCATCTCGACTCTCAGGCTTGGGTACTACTGCTGGCAGTATCCCAGTAGTCGTGCCTCTGCTGGCATGGCTTTTGGGCGCCGAAGGGGTGCTGCAGCTGAACGATCTCTTTGGAAAATGCGGCACAGTTCTCAGATGATTCAGAATGAGCGTTCATCTGACGCACAGAGTTTTTGCCCCATCGTCCATTTTGCCACTCCGAGATGAAATACCGATCCATCACCGTTCAAACGAACCTAGGCTGGTGTGCGCTATAGGGATTTGAGAAGCCGAACAGTGTGCATTCTGACCCACATTAGCGTTTTCCAATTGTGGTAACCGATTCTCCTATGGGACAGCCTTTGAAGTTTCTGTGATCAGTAAACATCGTTTTCAGTGGTTACTCCGTGAATCTTGTAAAATACCTCACCACGGAAGATTTCCTAACACTGGAAACCACTCAGTAGTTAGTAGCGCTCGCCATGAGTATCCAACACCAACTGTCTTCAAGAGCTGTTGATAAATGGGCTTCAGCAACACATCCGCGGTCTTTCGGATTTGTCAAAATGAATTCCTCCCGTGGTGTCAGGCAGCCATCTAACTTATCGTGTTTAATTTGTCAAACTATGATTGATAGGTCTGTGCCGGTTCGTTTGGGTGGTCGCCTCGCTTGATTGACTGCACTTTCCAACAAAACAACAGCCTGCAATAGGACCACTTTTAAGCTAACCCACTCCAAAATGCAATTCATTGCTCATTCAGCTAGAGCTTTTGTCACTGAAGGTTTGTCATTATCTGTTTTTGTTTGGCTGTTATTTGCGTTACTCTCATTCATATAAATGTGATGCGTGTTTGAAGATTAACCTGCTGATACTTCCTCGCGTGATATATCAGAAGATCCTCCCAGTGGCATTGCTGTCGTGGAGGCTAACTGAAAACAGACATCGCACTTCTTAGTCTCCAATATTTCTGAGGTATATGTTTTTAAGGGGCGAAACTGTTTCTTGTGCCCATTGGCTGCCGGTCATCCAACATCGGTAGTTGCGATCAGAGACAATCATGGGACCATCTTATCCTCTAGCAAAATCATTATCATCATCGACAGCATGACATCATTGTTTAGCACCGATGCTTCACTGCTGTACAATCGTGGTTTATTTAAAAGCCTTGTGAAGTTAAGAATAAAGGTTTAGCACCGATGCTCTTTGTGCTAGCTTACTACAATCATTCCGAGGTGCATACACCTTCACACACTCATTCAGACAATCTGGATAGAAACTGACAACAAGAACGCCACTGATATCGGTTGGCAGCCATATCTTGCATCGTCTCCGACCAGGCGCAGTGATAATCACGCGCCCCCCATCCTGGAAGGCGAGTAGCACCGACAGCACCCAAACGTTTCTTGATTTCTTTCATATCCCTCTGCCAGGTCAAGGGTTGGCCACCTGTCTGCTTCCGCCACTCTGAGTTGGGCATGGAAAACAGCACTCTCTTCGGCAAACGATGGTTCGGTATACGCAACACATGTCCCAACCGACGCCGCTTCTAGTGCCGGACACATTCTTCAATGGGACTACCCGTTGCACAACCGAAAACTCGCTTTCTAACTGCCTCGTTACGGATACGCTGACACCAATCCACACAAGCAATGGTTCGGAGACGACTATCGAACACCAGATGATGCCTCAGATACGCTGCCCGAACGGACGGGGTCTCACACCTCTCACTGTTGCTTGAATCACAAAAGTCAACAGCAGTAAAGTAGTGAAGTGATGACTGCACGTCAGCTCGACTATGCGGCAACCCGACAGCTGCCAACTTCGTCTGGTGCTACCGTAAATTCCTTGTTCAAGATTCATTCATACTTAGGAGACCTATGTAGATAAGCCAGAGGGTGCATCTGTGCTGCGAATAACCGCAGCAGAGGACAGCCTTGAGGTGACTTCCTACAGCTATCTGTAGGGGAGTTGTGAGGAAATTGAGATGTTCTCTTTGGCTTGCCAAAATTCTCATTTCTGGAAGTAGTGATGCTACATTCTTTTGAGAGACCGGTTAGAACAGATCAATTTCGAAAGCTGGTGGTGACTGCCGACAAAGCATCCAGTAGATTGGAAATACCAACAGATTTAGTGCCTGATGGAGCTGCAAACTTGATTAGCGCGACAGGATCAGGATGGAGACATGTATTTATTTGTGCCTCTGATTTGAGCCAACCATCCATAACTATGGATTTGCAGGCTCCAGACAAAGTTAGTGTGATCTCACTGTGCTGCCCACATAACCCTGGTATATGATTCCATTTGGTCGTCGATTCGGTAGATAACCGTTGGTCTTTTCGTGAAGCTTGAATGACTCAAAGTACACTCAAGCGACCAGTATTTGAACAGGTGATTCCATGTATAGCATGGATCCGTAGATGCTTTTTAATTAGCTCCTAATTCATTGATTGAAGCATTTGTTGTATTTTTTTTCTGTACAAACTGTCATTTAGCGAACACCGGTCTCAACTCAGTGGTCGATAGTGGTGTTAAGCTGCATTGTAACCGGGGTCAAGGAAAATGTCACAGCTTTGAAGGTCGGGGGCTTAAATAAAATTGTCAACGCGTTAATTAAAGTGGCTAACGTCAAGACACAACGTATAAACGTATGATGGGGCAGTACTCCATTGATATCGCATCAGTGTAGCGTCGTTTTGGTAGCTCCCAGTGTTGTAATCAATAGGATCCCTCACTCTGCATACATTCGCTCGCAATCTAGGTTGCTCAAAACGTGCGACTTCAATAACGAACGATTGAGATCCTGCGAAAATCAACCAGAAAGACGCGAGAATCTGGTAACAATTTGGTAGTGGCCGGTTTCATTTGGATTGCGATCTAACACCCAAGCAACTATACAGTTCAACTCAAATTTATTAAGCCGGCCTTTAGGTCTGCAGGCTGCTCTCATCACACTGCGTTCCCATCGTCTTCGCATGGTCGCATTTTAAACAAAGATCACAGTTTATTGTTTCATCTTCCAACCAACTTTTCTTGTTTCTTACAGTACGTCTATGAGGACAGCTTAGATCTGCTGGCCAAATTGCCCGTTGTCGCTGCGAAGATCTACCGCAACCTATACCGCGATGGAACTTCTGTGGGTGCTATCGATCCGAACAAAGATTGGTCTCACAATTTCTGTCGAATGTTGGGCTACGAGAAACCAGAGTTTACCGAAATGATGCGCTTGTACTTAACAATTCATTGTGATCATGAGGTAAGCTTTTCAGGAAGACTTTTTTTACTGCGCCGGTTAGTCGGAGACAAGACTAGAATTGAATCTTTGTTAACAATCACAAGCCTGGAAATCACAGATGATAGGCGTTAATACTGAGGTGTAATCTCGAAGTAACATTGTTTACCTTCGTTGTTAATAGATCATCCTTACTGTGCCCCCGTTCCAATTTAAAATGACTGGCTGTGTCACTGTTGAGGACTAACCGTTACTCTGTGTACAAAACGCTGAGCTTCCACTAGTCCTGTTCAGCCCACACTGCCGTGCTTTCCAAGACCTCTTAGTCAGTAAGATCCGGCCATCTCACTGATAGGGTTTTATGTTACCTTTCCGAACTTAGTATGAAAATTTCTGCCTGTCGAATCGACCGATTCATTCCCGGCAGGAAGCAACACACTGATATGGCCCTCTGACAGCCTAGAATCACACCAACGTGTCTTGTTTTGTCTCGGTCGATACGATAGTGTGATGATGTTTTCCCACACCATGCCGTCATGACACAAGTTCGAAACTAGCAACGCACAGTAGTCTTCACACATCTCCCCAAAACGCTCAATGCTTTTCTTTCGAGTCCTGACAGTTTACGTAAGATCGCTCGCTCGCCTGTTTGGTGTTGATTCGGGCGACAACCTCAGGACGCACCCATGCGGGTCTCAGATTTTCGAACCATTACTCCTGAGAAGTGAGCGATTTTAACACGTCTCGACAGCGGTCGTTGGAGAAACTTGTTCGTTCATAGGTCGCGTCAGTATGTTATGGTTTCTGGTGCTGAAAGTATTCTCACTTTGATGTTTGTTTTCTTGATTTTGTTAGAGTACACTGGTATAACCATTGCAGGCTATCCATCATTGTGAGTTAGCTGTAGAAAACCTAACTTCGCCTCCCCACCTGGATTTAGTGACTTTATGAGAC